CCCTGGAGGCTACTTGCGCTCTCCGAACACGAAGTCGAATTGCACTTGTAGATTATGTAGCGCACCTTGTGTTGATTCCCATTCGGCGAGCACACCTTGCATCTCTCGAGTTGATTCTTGACTTTCAACCTTCTCTTCTGTATATCGATAAAATCCTTTATGTCTGCCTCAGTCGAGCAGGAGCGAATAAACTTCAAAGTGTAGTTAGACATGCTGATTCTTGAGATGAAGGTGTCTCTGTGGGGCTGTTATGGTTTGGCGAATGAACGTCTATATCCGGACTAAACTACTAAACTAGAATTTGAGCACGAGACTATTTCAGCTGGCCAATCCGCTTACAGACGGAATAGCGCATGGAAGTCACCACCAATCATGGCAGTTGTGTCTGTGCTTTCGACCGACAGCTTTGTAAAACTACTTCATTCGTCTGTAATCACGTCCTTAATTCTGTAGATTTCACACGGTCTCTGTAATTCTAGCCATTTGTCTGTACATATGCAAACTTCTCCTGTAGATTTGACCCTCGCTCATGTTGTATTGGGAGATCACGAAATTCAGAGTTTTCAGCGTTATCACGCCATATCAATGATGAAAAATCATTTCTGGGAGGTGCAACTGTATGTTGCTTTAAGCTATTTATCGTCATGTCGTCGCTATGTTGCGGTACCGGATCCGGTAACGTACGTTTGAGAAAATATCACATTCGCCAGCAGAGTCTGCTGAGCAGACGAAGAAGCGTGGAGGTCTTGATCTTGCGAGATGTGTTACTCGCCAGTTTCTCTGATTGCTGAGCGATGTGATCTAATTCTTCGCCCTGTCTAATCCCCGCGTAGCCGTAAACAAATCCCCTCCTGATAGTAATATTGCGTTTAGCAATTTCCTTTCAAAAGAAAAAATGTAGTATACATAACCCTCTCCGTGGTGAGTCACAACTTGTGATACACGGAAAACTCATGTCTAGTTAAGGACGGAGGAGCGTTATTGCGATGATCACTGTAAGTCTAATTTACCTATAACCCCCAGATTTTGCTTAAATGGTGCAGCACTACTATAAACATTACAGTCCATGTGGTAGGGTTGTTTCAAAACCTAATAGGATGTATGTTTGGTGAGCGTCAACAGCGAATTTTTCCTCGACGCGGTTGCTGATTAATTTCTTACACTGTTCCCCTATCACATTGACGTGACCGCCTTGAGCCGCCTTGAGCCGCTTTGAGCAACAATCGTAAGAGCTTCTCCACCGAATTTATTGAAGCTGCGTGAAGATGTGCCTGAATAAGAAGATCAGGGACTGAAGCTTTAATCGGCCAATAGAGTTCACGGGAAACCGCCGCGTGTGGACTTGCGGATCATCAGTGGTGACAACTAGCAGCAGCCAACGATTGGCTCTATCAGGGGGATTATGGGGCTGCCGGACGTAGAACATCTTCCAATACAAGTACCAACAAAATGGTAGACCTCGACTATTTGACCTACAAATAGTGATTTTGTGTGAGCACCGATCCTATAAGAACAAGGAGGATTGTAATGCAAAGGTAAGCGTGGGCCAATTCAGCATACCTGTAGATATATCTCGTCCGAGTTTCAAAGGATTAAGCACTTGTGTTTGTATTTGATATTCCTACCACAGTTTCAGGCTCACTCAGGCGTTTGCTCAAATGTATTAAATTTTTCGGAGTTAGAATATTTCCGTTTAAAGGCGATAACTGACAACGAGAATAGCAGATTCGACACGTG